CTTGTCTGCTGAGCTGCTAATGGAGACTTTTGGTACTTGGTGTGCAAGAGAGAGAGTTGTTAGTAAATAGTTGCCAATCCAAGTGTGTCCCTGTGGTGTCTTAATTTAACTCCAGAGGCCTGAAAACTGCAGATCTTAAAGAATGGATCAGACTATCATCTGGTTCCAAACTAGTTAGTTATTTATAGGTTCCAATGGTCACTTTATGTTTCTACAAAATTCCTTGCATTACTGAAGCAAGTGAGCAGACACCTCTGTCTTTAACTTTCTTCTAGCAACCTTTGGAAACATCAAAAGTTACTGTCAATTGACCTTGATAAAGTGGCTTTGCCCAGTTTTCGACAGAACCGCCCCCAAGTGAGACCCTTGTCCCCTGGAGAAAGTGGAGCATGGGACATTCCTGGAGGTAAATATTGAAAAAATTGAAAGTCGCTGTTTTGCTTTGTTTTTTGTATAAGTTTTGAAAAAACTACAAACACAGCGCAGCCAGAAGAGAAGTCACATGTTTATTTTCAGTTGTGAAAAACATGCAAATAATAGCATGGCTGTGTTGGAAAAGGCTGACTGATGAAGCCTGTGAGATATATTTTTGTGTATCAATATTTTATTCAGAAGAAATCTGGGAGGAAGATTTTGGTGGGTGATTTTTAGGTAGTTGAGGTTTGTTTTGGTGCTCTTCAGACCAAGGGGTGTCGGCAGCAGTCCGTCTCCTTGGGAGTTGTGGCTGGATACCTCCTGCTAGTTAAAATTCCTTGTGTGAGTGCACAAAAGCAGAGTAAAAATGCCTGTAAAAATGAAGAATTTGGTTCTATAGCTCATTCTCATCATGTGCATGCATGTTCTCTGGAACAAGCACAAAATCACTTTCCTCGTAGCATCAGAATTTGGTGTGATGTATAGAAATTACTTAGAATTATGGCCGAGTGTTTGCACTGCTGCTCTAATGCAGACCAGAAGGTGGTTGTTGCAGGGGAGATCTGGGTTACACATGAATGTGCCCAGATAGGTCAAGATGGAAATGCTCATGCTTTTCTATAACATTAGCATCCTGCCTTACTTTTGCTAATAAGTCTGCAGTTGTTAATCTTCCTGTCTGAAATGTAATCTGATTAATAGCTGTTTCATCTTTGAAACATGAGTTACCATCGGATCGCTTTGCTCAGTAGTGTTAACGCTGCAAAGACATCGTAGCTCATGTGGTCACAAGTCTCTTCCAAACCTCTTTGTCTTCCCAGGTATAATGCCCGGCCGGTACAACCAGGACGTGGGACAAACTATTCCAGTCTTTGCTTTTCTCGGTGCCATGGTGGTTCTGGCGTTCTTTGTGGTGCAGATCAACAAAGCAAAGAGCAGGCCAAAGAGACGGAAACCGCGAGTAAAACGACCGCAGCTTATGCAGCAGGTTCATCCACCAAAGACGCCTTCTGTTTGAGAGCTCTCATTTGCCAAAGATGACCTCCTCCTACCGGTTGCTCTCCTGGGTGATCCGTCGCTCCCAGTGAAGGTGCAGCGAACGCGGCACTGATCATACTGGTGACTTGCACTTGGCATCATCTCGTAGTCTTTGGTTTCTGGAGAGAAAGAGAAAAAAGGACCTTGTTTGATTGTCTGTTTATAGAACTGCAGCTTTAAGCAGCCGAAGCCACCAAAGACTTGAATACTGTTTAAATGGCTGCTTAGTCACTACACATCCCAAGAGGGGAAAATGGACCTTTTTTTTTAAGCTGACCAAACTAAAATATATTTGTTTAGAGGCTATTTTCTATATTTATTGTTGGGAAGGGTGGGGGGAAAAGTCACTTTAAGGGCCTCTGCTAAGGAAAAAACAGTGCATTTTTTTGGATGGAATGCAATTTTCTAGAACGGTATTATGCTGAAGAGTATAATGTGCACCATTAAAGGAGAGAGGGGGTGAGAGAGAGACCAGTACAAACCGGTGAGGCATATTCCTGCAGTTTATTTTTATAAAGCCAACTACCATGATGTTTTGTAATTTTTGGTCATGATTTCACCGTTGTTGGTGAAGAAGATTTTCAATAAATATGTTATCTATATGAAGCTGAGACAGTGTGGTAGATGGCTCTTCTTTCCACTACCGGCCACAGAGAACAAGTTGTTGAGTAGAGAAAATTCTCATGTCTCCCCCTCTTTTTGTAGCGAAGTTGCAAGTTCTTTTCTGGCAGCTGCTTTTATCGCTGCTCCAAATAAAGAGTGCCTTTTCCCAGGCCCCAGGTGGCCTGGGGCAAACCTTCCAAGAGGTGGCTGTGAGTAGGGTTTCATAGTGCACAAGTGTCCTGCAAAAAGGGTTGGGAAAACCCATTTTCCCTAACCTGGAGAGCAGCTGGCTCTCCCCAGCCAGCCTCTTCCCTTCTGAAGATGCACCGGAGGAGGTGACATCCTGTTGCCGTGCCAGAGAAGGGACTGAGCTTTCACTTTGCAGCCATTAGTGGAAGCTCACTGGGGCTGAGAGGGTCCCAAGGTTGTGCTGCTTGTGCCGTCCCAGTGGGGCTGGAGCCCGTTGCTCCTCCCGCTCTGACCATGCTGACACGGAGGGGATTTTGTCCCTCTCATCTGTGGTGTTGAGGTCTCTCGTACAACAGCTGGCAACAGCTCTGCAAGTTGTACTGGTCATGGAAGAGCTGTCAGTAGAGGTGTAAAATCCCTCAGAAGATGTTGCAGATACCAACGTGTAATTGTGGTCTGTGTTCATTTGTCCTGAACAAGGACTGTCCATTGGCACCTTTGTACCTTTGACTGACTTCAAATGTAGGGAGTAGTGTGGAAAATACATCAGCAGCCCTTTTTCCATCAAAAAGAGAGGAGGAAGGCACCTGCTGAGGTGACGCAGCAGCGGGTGAAGCTGCCGACCCACGAGGACCCTCAGGTTACAGCTCGCACCCAGATAAATGGGAAAATGGGGAAAACAGGAGTGAGAAAGCGCAAAGCCACTGAGCAGAGAAACCCCCCCGGGGGCCCATGCCCCTTTGGGGGTGGACTGTGTCCCTTTGATTTGGGGCGCTCCCATCAGAGGGAGCCTGGAAAGCTTTGGTGTGGGTGCTAATGAGCAGGCTTGCTCCTCTCACCGCGACGCTAATGAGAGATTACAGCTCCTCTGCGGAGCTTGAAACCAGAGTCAAGCTGTATTAGAGCGCTAGTCCGAGTAAGAGCCTAAAATACCAATGGCTGGTATTTTACAGCCCAGTGGCCAATTTCTAAATCATAGAGGCCAATTATTTCTGAAGCCTTTGGTGTGCAGCTAATGAAGGCCTGGAAGGGCCCTTCTAACTGGTTATAAGCCCCGTAGGTGGCAGCGGTGCAGTGGAGGCGGCAGGCACAATTAGCCATCCTTAATTCCTCCGAGCAGCTGATTAAAGTCTCTTTATCCGTCTTACCGAGATCAGAAGGGCACATATTTGGGAAATCAAAAACGCATTAGGGGCTGTCAGCCAGCACCAGGGTCCCCTGTGCTGAGCCCTGGGGCGGTGGCATGTGCCAGGAGTGACTGTACCCTCCGTAAGGGATGGTCTCCTCATCCTTGTGGGGTGCAGCCTCCTCCATGCGGGTCCCCTGCAGCATCAGTCACCCCATCCTGTTATCCCAGCACCCCCTTTCCCTGCATGGAAAGGTCTCTCCAGTGCAGGAGCTGCCCAGGTGGGCTTTTGCCTGCTGCGGAGGCGCCAAGGGGTGCTGGCCTCATCCTGCACCCCACGAGGGGTGCAGCATCCACCAGCCAAATGATCTCCGGCTGCAGCCACCCTCCCTTGCCCTCCCCACCCCGGGATGCTCCAAAATGCCCCGTGGTGGGAATTCCATGGGGTGGGGTGAACCCACCCTGAACGGGGAGCCCCCAGGCCGCACACCCCGCGCTGGGAGCTGCTGGGGCTGTTGGCTTACCCCACCGCTCTTTGAGACGTGGGGATGCCCGCGGGACCACTAGTCCCGAGCCAGGGGGGTGCCGTGTCCTCCCCCCGGCTGGCCACGGGGCTCCGGGGCGATGCCCCCTCCCTTGCACCCGGGCCGGGGGTGGGATCGGGACGGGGCTTCCCTCGGGGGGGTTCCCACGGCCGGTTCCTGCTCCCTCCCCGCGGGGGCGGGGGTTCCGCGGAG